ATTCAGTCAGGACTTTACGCTGACTCTAGTGACATGCATCACAGGTGAATTCTAGTAAAGCATTGATTAATGCCTGATTTTAAAATTATAGTCCTTATTTTGCGCCCATGTGGCTGGACTCCACATGGCACGATCGAACCCGATCGAACCGTTATACCTAGGATTTCTGTCGGCTAAAGTGTGGTCTCTCAGGTTTTGAAAATGGGCCGACAACTCGTGTAGTGTACGCTGGACATTACACTAAGGAAATGAGGAAGGGAGGGTCAGTGGAGAGTATCGGAGTTGAGTCTTTTTTCATTCGGTGTCATCAACAGAAAGGGGGGGAAAAAAAGGCAGGAAGAGACGATAAAGCCGATAATTAAAATGAGGTCGATGGGTTTAATTTATCGTGCAATTAATTGATTTATCGTTTATTGCGACAGGCCTATTTGAGACTTGTGTATTTTATATAGTTTCCCCATTTAGCCATTACTTTAAATATGCCCCTCCTGTCTCCTGCAGGCGTTTGACGAAGCCATAGCCATGCTGGACACTCTCAACAGCGACTCCTACAAAGACAGCACCTTGATCATGCAGCTGCTCCGTGACAATCTGACAGTGAGTTACTGCATCATGTTGACCTATATGTAAAAGTATTCACACCCCTTGAACATTTGCTACATTAAAACACACAATCCTCTGTGTATTTTTTTTATTTGGTGGGACAACACAATGTAGAGTATAATTGTAAACTGGAAACAATTAATTCTTAATTGGAATTAGATCAGAACTTTGACTGGGCCATTCTAATACATCCATGACCGATGCTGTACTCTGAAACATTCTGCTTGGTTAGATTATTGTGCCCGGTTCTAGTGAGTTTTTTTTTCCTAGATTACCAGGAAGACGTGTAGTGGAGGTTTTCTGCCAATGTTTTGCAGGCAGGCCAGTTTGGGTGTTTTTTTGGTCAGAGCTCCATATGTGCTGTGTTGCCCACATAGCTTGTGCCGTGTAAGCCAGACATAAAGAGTGTTTTCTTCAACAATGGCTTTTATCTTGCAACTCTTCCAAACGTTAGCTGTGTGGTTGACAGATTCTCCTACATTAGTTGTTTTCTGCAGCTCCTCCAAAGATGCCGTACGCCTTTTAACTGCTTACCCGATTAGTGCCATCCTTTCCAGGTCTTTCTTGGTAAAGGGCTGGAGAATTTGTTTGTACCTATTTTTGTTATTTAATCACCAGAAGAACATTGAGTTATTTTGGTAATAAACTCTACATGATTGCATCTGGTAAGCCCTATAATTAAAAGTATCATTGGGATTGCTACGATATTCCATTGTTTGTTTTTATGAGAGCAGTATTACTGCATGATGGATTGATCAGTGCTCATTTGTTTTGGTAAGTTGCATTATAACTGCTTTAAACTTCTCCACTGCTTTCTACCTGACCAGTCTGAGTTGTGGTTCATGATTCAGGTTGTTTATTTTGGGATATCAGAGTAAGAAGGGCTGAACAGTATCTCATTCTCTTAACTTTGCAATTGTGTTCTACTTTGTTGGTCTGTTCCCAATTAAATTGAAGCTTGTGGTTATAAAGTCACACAATATGACAAAGGTTAGTGTGTTTGCTCTGTAAAAGCTGATTTTGATCAACTGCTCAACCCTGCATTCCTCCGGCACCTCGTTGCAGCTGTGGATGTCGGACGCGCAGGGAGAGGGCGAGGAGGAAGGAAAGGAGACTGAGCAGGAGCCGGCAGCCGAGAACTGAACTACAGAGAGACAACGGGAGAAAAATAAAACACATTTTTTTACCTCTCACCAGCCTAAGTTGTGTGCTTGGTTGTGTGTGTGCGTGTGTGCACATACATGCACAGAGATGTATGTTTACACTCCACTGACGGTGTGTAAAAGTACAGGATGTGTGTGCAGATGCATTGAAGTGAATGTGTGGGCGTGTGTGTGTGTGTGCGATTGGATGTGTGCGCGCGCGTGAGTGAATGTGTGGTTATTTTATGAGCACCTCCACAGAGAAAAGAATGGAATAGACTTGATTTCCTTTTGAACATTATTATTATTCCATCAACCTGTGTATTTTTGTTTTGTCGACTTTAGGTCCCTCCTCTAGGACTGCCCCAGTGATCTGTAACATTTATCAGTGTAGCAAGCTGCTGCTGTTGCAGGAAAACAAGGCGACCTCTAATCTGTCTCTCTGGGCAATTTCTCTGTTTTTACTTGAACTAAACAACCTTTGTGACACTTTGGTCCACTAAACTTTCTCTGAAACCACTGTAAACAGAGGGCAGGGTCCCTAAATGTTCCATCTGACAGTAAGCAGTGATTGTACACTATTACAGGTGAAGCTCCGTCTCCGTAGTGCTTGTATCCATCCCGCCCTGTTGGTGTCCCGTGTAGTGTGTTAATGGATGGTACATGTTTCAGGAAGTGTTTTCTGTTTGGACGACCACTTACACTTTGGTCCATTTGTTAAGCGACCTATTATCAACAGTGAAATGTGTAATCTTTGATTTCCTGCAGTTTTGCATACCACATAAAAGTTAACAGCCGAAGATGACGACAACTTGATTAAAAATGGCTCGATACTGTAACCTTTTGATATTTTAACTCTTCAGTGGTGCAGAGGATACTTTTCGCCATGCGCTTTTATGTGGCTTTCTACTCTTTTTCTATTCAGGTGTTCTTTTCCATTTTAATTTTCTGTATTTTATTCCCGTAGACTCCTGGAGAATGTATGTGGTTCTCAGTAGTGTGGTGTGGGGGGTTGGGCATGTTTCAAAACTGGCAGTTTTAGTTTAGTATTTAGCTTTAACCTGGTGTTTTAACATATTTACTTTTTTTTATGGGAGTAAATCATGATGTGGAGTAAAAAGTGAGCATAGAAATTGTCGTAGAAAGCTTCATTAAAAGCCATTTCGTAGTTACAAGTAGTGCCAGTTTCTTCTAATTCCAGTATTTTGGTTTAAAAGAAAAGATGGGATACAGAATTTGCAAGTTACACAATGAGTGGATTATTTGGTTATGCGCTTTCATGTAAGTGGAATTAAAGCATTCAAACTGAGACTTGTGGTGCTTTTTCTGTATTTATGAATCAGCTTTTTATATACATTTGTGCCAGCTACATTTACAATTTCTAACTGCCTTTATGAATTGCTTTTACTTCAGTAGCAAAAATGATTTTTTTTATTGTACATTTATTCAGTGGGTAACAAATCCTGCTGCAATTAACTGTTTTAAACAGACTTAATGGTATAATTGAACCTAGTGCCAAAACCGCCACAGTTCAACACATTTTATAGTTATGCTTTAGGAAATTCATCTAAATGTCGGTTACATATGGATACGAGTCCACCAGATTTAGATTTGAAAAAGTTGCTCATGAGTTTCAAGTAATCATGCATGTTTTGTGTAGTCTGTCAAGATTCTCAGGGCATTTGGAGGTAAAGTACAGCCACAGCATTACACGTACTCCACTATGCTTGACAATGAACACAAGGTGCTTTTCCACAGAATCCTCTGTTTTACGGCAAACTGACAGCTTAGTGTTTGCTATATCAAAAGCTCAATGCTACTCTCAGCAGGTCAAAGCTTAGTTATAATCACAGCTTTAGACATTTCTGAGATAACACAATAAGTGACAGACATCTTCCTTCTCCGCTGCCAAAGTAAAGATAATTTAAGGCCTGTGATGCTGAAGGCAGTTTCAGTTTGACAGATGGTTGGTTTTCACCAACATTGCTGCCCTCTGCTGATGACTGCTGTGGATGTCGAAGGACCAGAGAAAATACTGCCTGCATTCACTGGAAAGACAATCGTATACTGTCTAAAAATATCTGTGCATTGAATTCTCATGTCAGTAGGACTAAAATGCAGGCAGGGAAAGAGAATTTAAAATTTCTGTCACGCTATATGATTCAGCTCCAACACCTTTGATTCCTTCTAAGGAGTTTTGGGGAATACAAGCAAAATTTTTATTTAATTACTTTTAGTTTTAGGTTGCAATTTGCATGTAATAATGCACATCCACCTTTCACATGTTAAAAAAAAGTTAGTTAAATTTGTTTCCAAGTGTCTTCATAAAATGTTTTTATAAAACAATTTCTTGTAGCATGTTACAATTTACTTTATTTAAACTAAAAACAAGCATGTTTCAAATAGGTAAAAAGCTTGATTAGCTTAAGGGCAACAATACATCTTTGCATAACTGCAAACCTACCAAGAAATTACACCTGTGTTGTTGAGTTTCACCAGTTCTCCATTGGTTTGTCAAAGCTTGTAAGATTGTTTTATAACCTAATTATCTTTTAAACTTATCCGCATCTTTATCCTTGGCCTGTCTGCTACATTCTTTGGTCTTCGTGATGCTATTTGTTCACTAATATTTTCTAAAAGCTTCTCACAGAATTGTATGCATTTTGAGAATAAAATTTAAATGTCTGTTTATAGACTTCTGAGGGATTATTTGATGACATTTTTATTTTGGGGTATTAGAATAAAGGAGGCTCAATGCACATTCTTGTCACACTACCATTTTCCTCCTATTCCACTATTTATTCGCTATACAGCGAAATTTGTTACTGTACAAGAATAAAATTAGTACAGTTTAGGACAATAAATACTTTTACAAGGTGCTCTGATATTTTTTATGTTGACTCAATTTTTATTCAAATTTGAAATTAGAGTTTTAGGTCTTGGTTTATAAAAACATGACTTGAACTAGAATGAGAGTTTCAGAAATTGATAGTTTAGTCATTTAAACATTTGGGAGATTATGTAGTAGATGCCATTCACAAAGAACGGAATCTACTGAATGATCATTCAGTGAAACTGCATCATTTATTCAGTTTCACTTTACACCAGGTCAGTGTTGGCATAACAATAAGTTAGTATTCGCCTTTTAAACACGTTTTTCAGGATTCCACCATCATCATCATCGTGCCTACCCTCCTGGGTAACGCCCCTTTCCTCCTCAGTGATACTGCAGTATGATTGGTCCATTTGTGTGACGCATACATCGATATATAGTCAAGCAACCTCCCCTCTGCTTCCTTCCCTTCAACCCCGGCTGTCAGTGCTGTGTGAGTGCGTGTGTGCTCTGAGCTCGCTCATCACACATTCTATAAAAAAAATAAAAAAAACAAAAAAAATTTCAAAACATAAAAAATATAAAAAATCTTTTTCTTTCTTTCTTTTTGTAACAAGTCAGTGAAGAGGGAGTAAAGACGGTCGAGGACTGACGGTAACGTACCCCAACGTGTCGGATTTTTTTTTTTCCAGTCGTTAGCTTTCCCCTCCTCTTTTTCGTTTGTCAAATTTTAAAGGGTCTTTTAACTCGAACTGAAGTCGACGTTGTGTCGTTTTAAAACACTCGAATTAGACGTTTTGACTCCCAACTGACAAGTCAACCGTTGTATAACGTTTACAATTCGGCATCAAAGGTCCTACCGACGATACCGACCGTTAGCAACTTTTTCCCCCCCGTCTTCTTTCCCGTTGACAAACTCAAGCGTAGTCCGTTTATAACCGCTAGTCTCGAGGAGGAGAGAAATAAGGATGAACCCCAGCGCTCCCAGTTATCCCATGGCCTCCCTATATGTCGGGGACCTGCATCCAGATGTGACCGAGGCCATGCTGTATGAGAAATTCAGCCCAGCCGGAGCCATCCTCTCGATTCGGGTCTGTAGGGACATGATCACCCGGCGTTCCCTCGGATACGCCTATGTCAACTTCCAACAGCCGGCGGACGGTAAGTCGGATATTACTAAACCATTCAGTTAAAATGTCTAATAAATGCAGTCATGTGCTTTAAAGGGGCTGTCAGTCAGAGAGAGGGGGCCAGGCTGTGTGAACTACATGTGACTGCGGTGGGGTCTGGTCCACTGGCGTAGCAGAGCAGCGCCACATCCTGCCTGCCCTGCCCACCTCAGCAAAGTAAAAGGGCCCTGCTGGCTGCCAAAAAGGGCTCTTTATCTGTTCAGTCCGGGCAGCACCCCAACTGTAGTGCTGACAAATTTACCTTCCAATCCCCACAAAATGATTGCCAACAGTTTTAAGTTGTTGAATGGACTTTTGTCTGTATGAAAAGAGGGTAAAAATGTCATTGCTACTTCACTAAAACAAGCCATTTGTTCCACAGAGGTTCGATATGTGCTCTTTAGCAAGCATTTTCTGCATGCTGGTGATAAGAGGGTGGGCCTGTTTTGCCCTTTTGCTCCCATGGGTGTGTTTTTACACAGAGCTGTGAAAATTGGTTCCATGAGAAGACTCTTAAGTTTTTAATCAACAATTTTGTATAATAATTGTGTATAATAAACTCTTTCAGGGACAAAGTAATGTAAGAATGACTCGGTATAAATGGTATTGAGACACATTACATTTTAACATTTTTTAATTTAAGTCTATGGCCACATGCAGTTGAGAGCATGGGGAGTCCAAAATGTCTACAGTTGATTTATTTATTTTTGTCCCGTTCTTGTAGCTGGGAATGGACTAAAAAGCAAATTCAGATCAAGAAAATATAAAATGATTTGTTTAGAAAGGCAAATATAAAAAACTCTTCTTATGAGTCCACCATGATGTCGAATTTATTTTTTAGAAAAACACCCTGATTACTCGGTTCATTTCATTATGTGTTTAGACTAGGTAAAACAAAATCAGAAGTTTGTTTTGTAAACATTTTTATTGACCTAAATCATTTAAAACTCCCTGAATAAATGGCTTAATAATGCCACTGCTGTTTGATTGGACAAAATTGCATTGCTATTTTGTAAAACATGAATTTGGCATTCATTTATTCTTCATACAAACATTGAATAAATGTTTGAAATATTATATATTTTTAAAGTAGAATAATTTCCAAATGTTGTGGTTGAAGAACTGTACCATGAGTTTCATTGAGAAATCCACAACAGTCCAGTTTGACGGATTGACGGATTTTGGCCGTGCTTTTAGCTAGGCTATCTGTGAGTCATACACCCTGCCTGTTTTCATGTTTCCCCGCTGTAACACACAAGATTCCAGTTCAGCAAAAGTCTGTACGTCAATCCCCAATTAAAATCAGGTGTGCTGAATCATGGACACATCTAAAACATGCGGGGCAGTGTGCCTTGAAGACCAGGGGCTAGAGGGCGCTGTGGACGCCGGACCGGAGGTCGGCGGTAACGTGATGCGATG